TATCTCTCTCTGGGACGTGATACCATCTCTTTTACAGGTAGTACTATCAATTTCTGTGTATTTCAGCACTAAGACACACTGCCTCTTAGATGGGCAATGCCATTAGTGTACTAGCTTGTTATCTCATTAGTGTAAGGGTAGGGAATGTTTTGCCAAGGATATTCAAATAAGAAAATACCTTTTTCCTCACCTATTTTACTCCTATTCTGTTCTTTGGGAATGCTAGTCCTGCAAGTCCTTGGCACCCTTTCCTGGTATGTTTGTCTTCATTGCTGTAGCTTTTATAGAATCACAGAATAATTCAGAATGGAATGGGCCTCTGGAGGCCTCCAAGGTAAATGTAATCTGTGGGAGAGTGGAACCACCTATCTAAAATGAATTGCCCCTATGTGGCCTGTTTCTTCTTTGCAGCCTGTTAAATCGGAGTTTCCAATTAACATGGAAAACCTACATCTGAACGATAGCAGTGGGCAGTCCTACGGATACGTGCTCTATGAGACTGTCATATTTGGGGGTGGACATCTGCATTCAAGGGACCATATTCGGGACCGAGCACAGGTGAGGCACACGAGATAACCATGAATGACTTCACACAAATGTCAGTGCTTGGGCTTGGCAACCAGRCAGGCAATGGGCTAGCTGTGGATTAAAATGGATCGTTTTCTTATATCAGAACTGTGATTCTCTCTTTCAGTTCACAGCTAAACCCAWACCCTTATGATTTGTAAATTTGGGCTTGATTTGTAAATTAAAGCTTAAAGCATCTTTAAATGTCACAGTATTGAATGTTCTGGCAAATGCGGTTTGTGAGTTTTTCTCCCACATATATTGACCTTGAGTTCTCATCCCAAGCTGTGGTAGTTTCCTCCCCAAAGAAAGTTCCAGTAACCAGCATAGCACAGGACCTTGGTCTGACTGATGAGAAATTGCTCTGCTTTCTTGTGCTTTGCTCTGCAGGTGTTTGTGAACACCATGTACGTTGGTGAGCTGGATTACAATACAGTGGAGCTCTCCCTTCCTGAAGGACAGGTAACTAACTGGAGAGCGCTCACGGCAGTGGGAATATTCCCATACTCTGTGGATAACCAAGAACCAAGAGCTCTAAAGAGACATAGCTGTCAAGCAGGCACATKCCACTTGATCCATTGAAGTAGCTGCTCCCCTTTTTTTACAGGGATTCAGGCAATTAAGACTTCTGGTGGAGAACCGTGGTCGTGTCAATTATGGCCTGGCTTTGAATGAACAGCGGAAAGGTAAGTTCTTCTTTTCTTGGAGCCTCACAGTGCCCCAGATCTCTGAGTTTAAGCCCTGWAGAAATGCCAAGATCCTATTTCAGTGGGGAATTGTGTGCAGAGTATACAGAGCTAAGCATTTGAGTGGACTAATTTCATTTTACTGCAGAGAAGGTGAGTAAACACTCTGCGTTTCTTAGGCAATCTCAGCTGCAGTCTTGCAATTAAGGGGCTGGATTCCCCATGTTCATTTTACTATTAGAAAATTAACTGATCTACTACTTAAAAATAAAATCCATTTATGGGCAGCTAACTAAAAAAGCAACAATAACAACAACAAAGAAACATCTGCTGTGTGTGCCAACAATGCTTTCTGCTTGGAGGATGTTTAACAGCTTAGTGAGTTAAAGCAGAGGAGAGAGTGGAGAGGCCAAAGTATAGTAATGTTCTTCCCCTCTCAATCTGGATGAGCTATGGGACCATATGGACTCTAATTCCGTAGCAGAATGTGGCTGCTTTCCATCTCCTGCTGTTCCTCGTCTTCAAATAGGAAAATCTATCAGCTTTAGCTGCTTTTCAACTCTTCATTACCCACATTGCTCTTGCAGGCTTAATTGGTGACATCTTCTTGAACAAAACCCCCTTGAGGAACTTTAAGATTTACAGTCTGGAGATGAAACCTGGATTCATGAAAAGGTCTGTTTGATTTCTTCAAATTTTCTTCCTCGTTTGAAACTGTTTTGCAAAGGTACAAAATCTAATAGTTCAGTTATCAGAAAGGCATTAGATAAAAGAAGGCAGGCAAACCTCTGCACTGTTAAGTCTCTTTCTGGTCCCTTTGCCCAAAGTAGTACAGAAAATGGCACCACTTTATACCATTATTTAGGGAAAAAATATATTCCCACTGTGGAGGGCTTAAGGCTCCCTCATACCTTTGTAGCTGGGTTAGATCAGGCAGGTAAAAGAAGTGTGGCTTAGCTGAAGCACTGTGTGCCAACCTACTGAGAGGCTGGAGAAGTTTGGATCTTTCTTGGAATTAGCAGTCGGGCTGCTAGATTTGATAATTGAAACTCACAAGGGAAGGATTAATTCTAGGAAGCTACTAATAGTACATTAACAAGTCCAGATGGCTTCCTCTCKTCCATGCTTTTTAAGTTATTTGCTTTAATTCAAGAAAGACTGAGCTCTGTTGAGCAGAGGTCGCTCAACAAGCCTCTCTTAGTGGATATAAAAAGCCTTACTGAGTGTTTAAAGCACTTCCTTCAGCCTGTGCAGGCYGTATACATTTAAACCTTCCACCATGGCACTGGCATTTAGGAAGAATGGGTGCTCCACCAGCCAGCATGAAGCCAGGGTTTGTTGTGAAGCACTGGAGGTGGTGATAGCCCCATACATCTTYTTTTGTAAGAGATTTGCAGTTCACTGATGTGGCAAGTGCAAGATAATGAAGACTGAGACAGGTACCACAGAACAGGTGTCTTACGTGGAGGCCAGAGATGCACGAGGTGCTTGTCTGGGCTGTCTACAGCAGCTAAATAGCCTGTCCCTTTGCAGCAGGGTGAATATAAGCAGCAGCAAATCCCAGTAGGGAGCAACTGCTTGGCRTTTCAGGCATGAAGGGCAGCAAGCAGCCCTGCAACACGTCTGTCTGTCCACCACTGTGAGCACGGATGTGAAATGCTCTCGCAGTGTGCCCTTGGGCTTCCTGTTCTTAGTTGTGTTGGTCATTCCCTTGCAGCCTGCGACACGTTGCGGGATGGAGTGCAGTCCCAGACTACTTCGTTGGTCCAGCCTTTTTTCGTGGGAGGCTGTGGATAGAGCATCAGCCACAGGACACTTTCTTGAAGCTACAGGCAAGTCCTTTTCTATCACATTCTTCTGGGAATGCAGTGTTTTTAAGGCAAAGACATTTCCTCCTGTACATTCAGAGCCTAGCAAGATCCCCAGTACCTGACTGAAACCTCTAGATCCTGCTGCAGCTGTACAGTTAAAATTGCATTAGTGTTGCCATCTGCAAATGTGAAGGTTTAAAATCTTTCTCAGCAGAAGAGCAGTTTTGCTCACTTGGGTCTGCAGCAGGTGGCCTGAAATAATGCGAGTGTGAAAGTAGAGTTAATTTCCTGGGGGGATCCTAACGAGGTAATACAGCTGCATCACTAATTTTGTGTGCTGTCCTGATTCTAGGGCTGGGAAAAAGGAGTTGTGTTTGTCAACAGTCGGAACTTAGGCCGCTACTGGAAAATTGGGCCTCAGGAAACGCTCTACCTTCCTGCCCCCTGGTTATGGAAAGGGAGCAATGAGGTAAGAGGCTTAGGTAATTCTTTTGTTTTTTTTCTAATGTTTGTTTGCACAGCTCGAAAAACATAGAAGTGTCCTGCACATTAACTGCTCATCTTTAGCTGAAAATCAACTTAAAAGCAAAGAAAGGAGAGCGTTAACCCCCACGTTGTGTGAAAGACAGGGAAGATGCTGTTCTCAGGCTGAGGATGGCTCTATCAGCCACTAGGGCCACAAGGATGCCAGCTAAACTTCAAAGCACAGCATCAAGTTCAAAACCAAGACTAACCTGATTTGATGCTAATCCATTTTATGCGTCATGCAGTATTGTAGCATTATAATAACTGTTCAGGCTCATATCGACTGATCTCTTTAAATGATGCTCCCTTCCCCTGCTACCCTCATGTGCCATTTCCCCCTAGAAATTCAAGCCTAGGAACTCAAATCTTTCTCTTCCACAGATCATTATTTTTGAAGAGCGAACAGCAGGACGGATAATACAGTCTGTTGACATACCTTATTTAGGAAGGACCCAGTATGTGGACTGATGAGAGCTTCTTTTCCATGTTTGGTTCATCTTGGATGTTCGTGGTTGCATGCCTGGGGACACAGTGGCCCGGGCACTTGGGCACGATAGTTTCCACTAGACCCAGGTAAAGGATTTGCCCTTTGGCAGTAAGTTCAGGAAAGAGAGAACAGGCCCCCAGGAAGCAGAGTCTGTTGATGGATGTGGAAGCTCTTCTCCCTGCACTACAGAGCCTGGATGGCTGCGCATGTTGCCGACAGCCCAGTGATTGTCGAGGAGAAAAAGGTGCTGGAGGCAGGAGAGAGAGAAGGAACGGGAGCCATCTGCACAGAAGACTRAGCCCAGCTTTCCAGTGACTTTACCAATGTGTTACTACTGGCCTCCTCCTTTTTATAATTAGACAGGGAGAAAATAGGGGGTGAACATGTGAGTAGCCAGGTGTGGAAAACCATTTTGTTGTGCTTCCAGGCAGAATTAAACAGCTTGCTCTGCAAAGAGGCCATTATTTGTTCACTTGTTGGAAGCCAGGTTGGATGGCAAGTGAGTTAACTTCAAAGGTTTTTTTCCACTGAGTTTTAATATGGAGGTTGTCTCTCTCTCAGAAAGAAATAATAAAAAAAAAAAGTTCTATAAAGTCAACTGTGTTTTGTCCTTTGTCAGAAGACAAAGCAGAATTATAACATTCTGCTCAGGTCAGGCTGGAGGGAGAACTTCAAAGAGGAGGTGCAGGAGGGGAAAAGAACTGGTTAGTCTTCAAGTCTTCCTTTACCCCATCTCATTTTAAAGCACCCCAACATGAAATTCCCCTTTGTAAATGACCAGGGATCAGATTTTTGGCTAACGGAGTTGCACGGGATTCTGACTCTTAGAAACCATACTTAATTTTATTTAACAAATTTAAATACAGTTTATTTAAAACTGAGAACAGACAGCGCAGCTGTAATACACTCCATCCTGGCCAGAGCTGGTCTTGGTAAACCTGTGTGCCTGCTCCCAAGGACCACACAGCCTCCATGCAAGCTGGAAGGGCCAGGCTTGTGTGACCAGTTCTCTGAGGAGAGCAGAGCGTATACGCGGGATTGAGTTTTGGACTTGATCCTCTGCATTTTTTCTGAAGGTTTTTTCCTTCCAAGGAGGGAAGGTTGCAACCCAGCAGGGACTAGAACTAACATTAGTGGAACTAAACATGCAGCTAGAAGAGGACGTCAGTTGGAAACTATTTGAGTCGCATGAAAACTCGGTATTCCTTTAGAAGTGTCTCTTTCCACCCCAGGGTCTGCAGACTGAGCTGAACCTGGGGTGCTAGTACAGTAATAGAGTAAGTCTGCTCAAATGCAGAGAGCTCCTGCTTTAATACAAGATAATGATGCCTGTTCCCAAAGTGCAGCTGGCGACAAGTAGCATCGAGTGCTTTCTATCCAAGCAGCGTTTCAGCCATTGCCTCTGACAGAACGTTTTGGTAAAGGCTACATAGCAAGGCTTCCATGACTGGGCTCTAAAGAATGCAACACTCCTCCAATGATTTGGAAACACAGTAGGAGAAAATAACTTACCAAAAATCCTTTTTCTTTTTTTTAAGATATGAAATAGATTATATCATTTGTCTAAGGGGAGACTTCTGCACTGCAAAGCTAACAATCACTTCTATAGTATTTAGTAATTGTATATGCTAAGGGGTAAAAAAGCTGAGTCTCTTTTCAGAATTATATTTTCCTTTAACTTAAAGGTAAAATTGTGCTTCAGACCTTTTTGAAAGAATGGGGACAGTGTAGGTTGATCAAAAGCTTAAAACAGCTACAAAGCGGGAGGGAAGATTGTTGTAGAGGGATTGGAGGTAGGGAGAAGGGGTAAATTATACCTTAATTTCTTCCTCAGCAAGTTTGTCAATCTCAAATACTGAGTCAACCAAGGTAGTAGCACCCAGGTTCCTCTTCTGCATTGCTCTGTCATCTGTCTCACTGAGGAGCAAAACACAGTTTCATCAGAGAAAACCCCTGCATCAAAGCTCTCTGACCCTGCTGTTACGGACCAGGGGAGAGGCGACTAACGTTCTACTTAGATAGTTTTTCAACCTACCTCAAGCCAGGCGCTGAAGAAACAGAGCACTAAGCACAGGATCCCTCTCTATCCATCAGAAGGTAATTCTTGACCTGCTCCAGGCTGGCTTGCACGCCACTAGCTCGGTGGCATGGCCCTGAAAAAGGGGCTCAGGCTGAAGGACACATTCTAGTTCAATGTTAAATGCACTTATATCCCCTTTTATCACTTAAAAACTGCTATAGCTAGGGGTTATTTTTTTAAAGCATTGAAATTTGGCTTTATGTAGGAGCACTTTAGAGAACCCCACACATGAAAAAAATTAGGGCTAGAAAGAACCAAGATCTGAGCCCGAATGAACTGTTACCATGTATGACCACAGTAATCTCACTGAAAGCCACCTCCAATTATTTAGCCAGTGTGAATAGGGAACCACGTTCTGTAAAGGTAACTCGATCCAGCAACACAGAGATATGTCAGAACGCCCTCCAGGCCATGAAGCTACTGAAGGGAAAACAGAGGGGGTAGAAAGAGAACAGAAATACTTGGAGGTTTGTTCTAACCTGCCTTGCTTTTCACCCTCCCCCAAAACCTTCCTGCCTTGTGCAATGAAATAAACACTGATTAAAGTAGGTTTAAAATTAAGGGCTAAGGTGCCATCTCAGAAGGCAGCTGTCCCCTCCATGAACAGAGAGCTGCTTAGGCGGTTGCACACATAGCCACAAGGTACGTGTGTCTCAGGAAAAACAAGTCACCGGGGCCAGCACGCTCCTGCGGGCAATCTCACCCTTGCAATGAGGTCCTGTGAAACCAGCCCCCTCAGCCTCGACTGCCGTCGCAGCCTCGACTGGGCCTCCTCCTCGTGCATCATGCCCTGCACGCGCTTCTCCCAGCCGCGCAGCCCGACTGAAGCCGACGTCGGTCCGGTATTTGCTGTGCTTTTTCTCCAGCTCCAGAGCCTCTGGCTCTGCTCAGAGTCCGGGAGGAAGGGGAGGCCGGGCAGTTTATGTATGCAGTGCTGCTTGTTTTCAGAACGATAAAACTCTTGGAGGTCAGGAGAGGTCCTGGCTACCGCTGGCTGGATGCTGTGCAGAGGAGCCGCGCTGGCTGCGCGTGGAGAAATCTCCTGCAAGAGAGATGCAACGAGTGCTCACATGCCCCTCTGCCTTGCTGCCCCCTTGCAAGGCTCCCCAAACCCATCGTCGAACTGGCTASTGTTGTCCCTTTTCTTATTCCTTCTCATTGCAGTTCAAATGAATTAGCTCATACCTGATGCTGGTCTCCGCTCGGCCATGCACAGTCAGATTTCCACATTGGGATCTGTGAATCCTTTCTTCCCCTCGTTCACCAGCACAGGCTTTTCGGTCCTYGTGTGCCAGACTAAAATCTAAGGAAACCAAAAGAAGTCATTAGCTGCACCTCTTCACTGCACTAACAAATATTCTTGCCCATTAAATCAATAGTGCAATTTAACCATCTACCCTGGAGCCTAATGGTGCATTCACAGCTCAAAGGAGGTTTGCATAAAACTTCATTTAGCCAGGCTTAGTGAAATCCAAAATGCTCAGTGCACAGAAATTACCCATTTTACAGTATACTGTCTTGGGACATTAACCTGCTCCTTCCATGTAGTTATCAACCGTCCTCCTCGAAAGGCTCATCAACCTTTTCACTAATGTAAGCCCGATCCCTTTTCACTGCAGAAGCAAATGCAGGTTTCCCTGCAGATGAAGCTCTCCACCCTGTTTCTCGGGTAGCGTGTTCCTACAGCCTTCCTCCCTGCTCCCCTTCACCTGCCTGCACTGGTACTTCCCGCCTTGAGGGGGTTCCCTCACGTTGCTATGACAATATTCCGCACGTTTCAGCCCTGGATCAAAGCATTTCATGCTCAGTCCTTGCTTTTCCGGAAAAAGAGGGCAGGCTCTTTTTTCCTATTTTTTTCCAGCTTGGGGGTGGGAGGGAGGTGGAAGCGGCGGAGCACAGGATCTGGTGCACGCTTGCAAGCCTTGTTTCCCTTCGGCAGCAGCACGAACCAAGCGTGTGCTCCAGATGGGCAGGAAAGCTCCGTTCTCCCGGGCAGCCTGAATCTGCCAGCTTAGCACAGCATCCCCAACCTTCTCCAGAACCCGCCTAGAACAAATGACCTACATTCCACCTGGAATCGCCGCCCCTGGGGCCTAGCAAGGCCATAGATGCTCTCATCATGAAAACAGCCACRATACAGAGGGTAATTGAACAAGGAGGAAAAGCTACAGGGAGGAGAAGCCGCAATATTCCAAGGTCCACGGCAGCCTCTCATTTGTGCCCTGGCTGCACCCTCCCACCGCGCGGCCTGGGAGCAGCCGGTACCTTGGTGCAGTTGGCAGCTTTGGGCTCCAGATCGCTGAGGGTGACCAGCTCGCGCAGCAGGCTGCTCTCCTGGTAGCCGCCCTTCACACCGCGCAGCTTGAAGTAGGCCTGGGAGCGCGCCAGGATGAGCCGGAGGTTCACGGCGAAGCCTGCCATGTCTATAGCGAAGGGCCGGTGCGGGTCGAACACCGTTTTCCAGCCGTACACCTTGCCCGCGGCGTTCACTTTGGGCGACTCGTAGCGCAGGCCGCCCACGAAGGCCACGGGCCACACGGACACCTTCCTGGTGCTGCGCATCTGCAGGACAGAGGGGCATGGGTGGGCACGCGGAAGGGCGGCTGACGTTGGGCTCCAACGCGCCCGACCCGCTCCCTGTGGAGGGACACGGCAGCGAGGGGCAGCGGAGCTAAAACCAAGAGCTGCCCTGTGTGCCCAGGTCCTCGCTGCACCGGGATGCATGGCCTCGTGCTGCAAACGGCTGCAATTCCCTTGGGAGAGAGGCAGCGGTGATGGCTACGCTAATGAAGTTGGTACTAGGAGCAGAGCTACCCAAAATTAGCATAATTTTGATTTAAGAGCGGCCATCTGCCCGCTGCTCTTTCCAGAGCCACTCAGGAAGCGCCCGTGCACATTCYGGTGCTCCGGGACTGGTCGGGCCGTGCACAGAAGGGAGGTAGACGCCTCTGTTCCCTGCGGAGCCGCCAGGAACAGGCGGGACCCCCAGGCGCAGATGGTTTGAATGCCAGCCCGTGTGCCCTCCCTCTCCCAGTGCCCTGTCCCTTTCTGCCGCCAGGCGCAGCCCGACTCTTAGATCAGGGATCTCCCAGAGCTAATCTCATCACTGCTAATTACAGCAGACGTGACCAGAAGAGCTCTGGCACTTGCCCTTCTGCATCAAACACATGCGAGAGGCAGCCCCTGCCTGCAGGGAACATCCTCGGCATTTTGCAGCGTGTTTCATTGCTCCGTGTGACCTTAGCTGCAGCTGCGCAGCAAAGAGAGGAGCCTCTCCGAGCCGGGCACACGGCAGACCATGGGCATCCCCCGCAGGCTCCTACCTCCTCAAAGAGCTCCAGGCTGTAGGTGTTGTCGTCGTCGGCGAAATAAACGATGCCGGGCTGGCTGCTGTTCTTGTTGAAGGTCTCTCTGAGCCAGCGCAGCGCCAGGTTCCTCTGCATGGTGCCGCGAGGGATGCGGGGGTCGCGCGTGTCGCCGCGCAGCTTGTAGTTGCGGGGCGTCTCCACGTTGAGGTGCGTGTAGTTGAGGCCGGTGTCGCGCAGCAGCCGCGTGATGAGCGGCGTGCGCCGCTGCGAGTCCTCCACGAGGATCCAGTGCAGGTTGGGCACGTGCAGCAGCGTGTTGGCCAGCCGCGTCAGCTCTGCCTTCTGCACCGGCCGGCTGTAGGTGGGCGTGATAACGTGGATGGTGGGAAGGGTGTCCGACCACGGGGGCGGGCGGGTATAAACGTACTCTGTCCTCACCACCTCCACAATGTCCCGGTCCGACAAGCAGTATTCCTTGGAGTCCAAGCCTGCAGCGAGATCACGCCGGGAGTCACCACCATCATCTGAGCAAGGGCATGAGAGAGAAGAGAAAGCAGCATGGATTGATCCTGCAAGGGGCCCGGCTGGAGCCAGCAGGCTGCTTGCTCGGTGCAGGAGGTCACCCTCGCGGTGCGAGAGGAAAGGAAACAGGCTTGAATAAGTAAGTACACAAATAAATACAGGAATCGGGGACAAACAGCCACGGGAGAAGCTCCTGCTGTCAGAAAGGCAGCAGCAATCAAGGCCTGAGAGCCCAGGAGAGCGCTGCAGCTGCATGTTCAGCATGAGCAGCTCCTGCAAGCACCCAGAAGAGACTGGCTTGCACAACTACTGGATCTAGAACGTGAATTAGCAACAAGGATTCAGGATCTTCCAGCCCTAAGGACTGGTTCAGCACTTTGGGACCATACTGACTCTGCACTGAGGTATTGGGGCACCTGGATTGGGAAGTGGTGGAATAACTGGTGGAAAATGCCAGGCTGGTGAAGCTCCTTCAGCAGCTCAGAGTGCCCAAGATACTCCAGTACCCCACTGTCCTCCACATACATATATATATATGTATATAATACCTATCTGCATTACACAGCACAGCTGTCTGAAAGCACCAGACACTGCAACGAAATCAAAACCAAAACTGTGAAATGCATTGGACACGGACACAAACGTAATTAGCCAGGATGGTGCTTGACTGGGACGCCGAAATTGTTTGCAGTCCCCTGCAGGTCAGGCTCTCAGCTGTAAATCCTGGCGTGCGTACCCACTGTGCTCACACTGCATAGATGCACATCTTGTTTTCAGCACCTGCTTTCAAAGAGCCCCAGAAATGTATTAGAGGTGCAAAAGCATTTAATCTGAGAGCTCTCAGGCTGGTCTCTATCACCACTTGTTTTCCACTGAGGCTTCAGAGAGGCACAGGCTGAGAAAGAGTCTTACCGGGGTCAGCAGCAAGTTCAGGACCGAGCCAGCGCGCAGCAGTCTCTGTGCTGTCACTTCAAAGTCTGGGGTCATTCGCAAAAACAGCTCCTGGCTTTCAGGGCACTGAGTCAAACTCCTGACCTTTTTGACTGCATATTCTCTGTACTCTTTCAAGCCCATCTCTGGAGCCTGTCCTCTGAAACACTGTCCAGTTTCCAGAGGGGATCACAGTCACCTTTTCCCAAAGCCCAAAGGGGGTGACTGTCAGTCAAGAGGCCTCCGAGGGAAAGGYAGAACTGCTTAGGACCATCGCTGAACTTTAAATGCTTGAAAACGCACATCACACTCTTCGGTGAAAGAAGAAGCAGCAGCAGAGGATGAGGGTGAATGTTAAAAGGAAAAGGGAAGAGCAAGAGCCCAGGGAAAGGGAAAAGAAGAGACCTTCTTCCGAGCTGGCAAGCTCCTCAGGCTGAGCCACCTTCCTTGGTACCTGGCAGGCTACGGGCCACAGTCCTACTTGGTACTTGTGCAATGGGTACGCTGGAAGCTGACCTGCTCCGAGCATGTTAACTCCACCAGGTAGGGTGCTGGTGTTTGCTGCATGCCTTCCCCTTCAAGCCCAAGAGACTCTCCTGCTGCCACTTGGAAAATGCTCTTTGCCTTGACTCTCACAGAGGAGCTCTCTCAAGTGGAAGCTTTGCTTCCTCTGCTCTCCTTATATCACCCTTCCTACCAGACTGATTTCTTTGCAGCAATGGGCTCCTCTCCTACGGATCAGCAGGGAACAAGGAGAAGCATCTTCCTTCAGTGCTCTCTCCCACTGATGCTGGATTTAGGCCTTGAAGGGCTCTCCAAAGGCAGTGACTATGTGCCATGGCTTGGAGGGTGACATCTCCAAAGAACCTACAAGCCCTGGGCTGTTCCTACAGCAGAAGTGGGGAGCCCTCTGCATGAGCGTGGGCTGGGAGCTGAGATGAGCATGGCTGCTATGGAGAAATGAAATGAGAGAGGAGATGAGGGCGAGGGAGAGATGCGCAGATTTGGCATGGGCTGGTTTGTTTTCTCTCACCCTTGTGCACTGCAAGTAGTGGAGCAATGGTGCTCTGGTGCCACACGGTGATTAGCAGTGTCCAGGGCAGAACTATCAGCACGATAGCCAGGATGTCCCGTCTCTTCGGCATCTCCAAGACTGACTGGACCCACAGCTCCTCATTACCTGACAGTGAAAACCCCAGAGACAGAACAGCAGAGCACATGGAGAAAAGAAATAAATGGGCAAGAAGGAACAAGGACAGCGAGAGAGAGAACGCGAGAGAGGGAGAGAGCAGCGAAGGCGACACGACTCGTAGGTCTTACCAGTGCTTACAACCCACCCATTGCAGAAGCAGGTTTGGAGGGGCCTCGGCTGCCGGGACCAGGAGCAGGAGGGCACCTTCACACGACGCTGCYGGAGCAGCCCTTGGGAGCCTCAGGGATCCGTTTGGAAGGCAGCCTGCAACACAAAGCAAGGGGGAATGAGCACAGGAAAGTGCTGACGAGCTGCTCCATGGCTCACAAATCCTCCTGCAAAGGGACAGGCTGAACAGCCTCAGAAGGGGCTCCCCACCCTGCAGCAGAGGTGCTCAGTGCTTGCTTGGCCCCTACAAGAAGAGGCTGCTCCTGTGCTCTCGGGGATGTGGCTCCTGTAAAGTCGGCACCTCTGCGTGTCATCCCTGAGTGTAACCCCCAGCTCTGCCCATCCTGACAGCACCTCTAACGCAGCAAATTTCAGCTCTGGCTTCCAGGGGCCTGTTTGGTTTCATTTCTTCTATCTCAGGCGAGTTGCAACCGGAGTATATTAAACTGCCACAATGGCTTAGTTTGATTCAATACAAGCACATACAAGATTTAAACAGCCTGTATTTTATCYGAGCATCTTGCCAAGGACTGTACATCACTTAGCAGGCCGGTGCAGAGCGGAGGGCTTGCGAACACGGGTAGCAGTTTAGCAGCACCGCTCCCCTGCGGGGAATGCATTAGCTTGGAGCGCTGCATTGCAGCCGGGAGAGCGGGAACAGGGCCTGGAGACCTGCCATGGGGTCCTGAGGACAGCACCCAGCTCCCGCACAGCACCGCCTCCCATTCACCCCACTGCCACGGGCTGGAAAACATCGTTTTGCCTGGCTTTAATCAGAGGSGATCTCCTGAGCCGGGCCTGGACCTGAGCTGCATGCAGCGGCTGCATTGCAAATGCTGCTCCCGAGGCCCTCGAGACTTGCTGTTTCTGGCTGAGCTAGGGCAGCCGTGGAGCCACCCAGGTTCAGAGCCCTGGCCAGGCCAGCACAAGGTACAGCTCGTGCGTGTGAAATATCTCCTGGAATGAAACGTCTCTTCCATTTTTCAGAGCTACGGAAAGCAGCCCCATCCAGGCAAAATGAACGACAGAGGAAGAGTTGGGCTTGTTCCAGTAAAAATCAACYTTCTGCTGCATCCCAGTCCATCTCTTAGGGTCAGAGAGATCCTGCTGGCTGAGCACAACCAGAGTGCACTCAGGAAAGAGCACCTGGCCTCATCCTTGCGGTCCCTGAAGAGCCTGAATGGAGGCCACGAGCACTGCCATCCTTTCCAACCCCCATGCAAAACCAGGACATGCCCTTTGAGCACCCCTGCAGGGCAAAATGACAAGGGGCAGCTCTGAAAGCTGCAGCCCTTGCCTAGTAAAGCATCCTCGCTGCAAATGCACCACTGGAAAGGCAGTGGGAGGAAAAGGCACCCTAAAGGAGTTGCTCAGAGTCAGCTCACAGCAGCTGGTGGGCTGCCCTGGTGGGCTGGCGTGCATCAAACACCCTGTTTGTCAAGGATAACTTCCCCTGGATCCAGTGCTCTTACCTGGAGGATGCCCTTTCCCTGCCTCCTGCCAATCCAGCCTCCAATCGCCCGCATCCTCCCAGCAGACAGGCTGGCCTTCATCTGACAGAACCGGCACCCTGGGATGGGATGCTGCGCTGATTTCCATCCCATCAACACAAAGGAAAATGAGCAGCCTCCAACGATTTGTGCACTGCTCTTCAGCATCGATTCCTTTTAATTTGCTACAGAGCATTTAGCAGCTCCCTGGTCAATCATCCGTCACTCTGGTGACAGCCAGGGACACACGTGGAGCCCGGGCTGCAGCATGAGCCACAACGCGACTGCTGCCACCCCTGGGCACCCCGAGCTGCCCGYGGGCATCCGCAGCTCCACCGCACACGGATCATTCCCAAAGCCCTCGGATGTGCTCATGATCCCGGGCAGAATCCACCCTCTGCCTTGCTGCTGTTCATGGCAGAAGCCAGGCTAGGCAAAGATTTTCTGGGGAAAAAATAATCTCTTCTTCGACATATCCACCCTCCCGCAGTGGTGGGATATACATATATATTTATATTTATAATTCTATTTTATATTTAGGCTTGAAAGTGARAGCAGAACATGGAACCCACCAGCTCAAAATGAAATGGTTAAAATCTGTCGAATGTGAAGGTGGCTTGCGTGGCTTGCAAGGCTTCTCCCAGCCAGGGGTGTGTTTTGCCACGCTGCACATGCAGCTCTGGAGCGCGTTGCAGGAGAGATTTCCCATCCTCCGGCAGAGGGCAATGGTGTCAAGGCAGGACGATATTAAAAGGGCACTCATCTAATAAAAACACTCTCATAAATCCCGGAGCCATGTGTTAGTAACGTGTTGGATTATTAAATGCTGAAGGTTCTTTTTTTAAATCAAGTTAATTGGCGTCAGCTCTGCCACTTACTGGAGGAGCCGCTGATTTGATCTGCAATCTGGCTTATAGGCAGCTTCTGCCTTCCTTTGGGGCGGATCAGCCCCATGAAATCTCTCCTTGGATTTCCCACGTTGAAAAGAAGTGATTTGGAAGATGTTGAGCTAAAAAYGGTCTTAATTGAGTTTGTCTATATATATATATAAACCACTGAAGTGAAAAAAATGTCTAGACTTAAGAGAAACGCACACAAAGAAACAACCATTTCCTTGCACTACAAAACGAGCCAGGAAATGCCAAACAACAAAGCCAAGCCCCCAAAACAAAAGCTTTAGGGAGGAAAATAAACACACATACAGATCCAAGGGCACACAGAAACGAGATACAAAGGATGCCCTTCTAGCAGCTTCCACCCCTGCAAACCTGGGGGTTCAAGGGGGCAACAGGGACGRGTTCTGCTGCTGGTTGCACAGGGATGCAGAGGCCACCACTGGTCCCCTGCTGCTCGATGTGGCCACATGAGCCCTGTGCATTTGACACACACATTCACTTGCCATGCTCATCCCATGGGATGTGATCCCAGTCCAGCACCTCGTGCAGCTCAGCCCCACCGCAAACCTGCTCGCTGAGATTTCGGRATTTGGCAGAAAAGGCCTGGAAAGCACAGGCTAAAAATAAAGATGGCAATAAAAGCTTCTTGCTCGTTAATTACTCTGTAAGCCATTACTGCCGAAAAACCCCATAACTTTAATGGGGGCTATTATAAGTATAGTAGCAAAACTGTGGAGCTAATTACTGTGTAGTTATTAAGCAGAACAGAACGGGCATGCTTTCCTTTAAAGGAGCCAGGACAGAGAAAAAGAGAAATAATGAGCACGCAGAATTGCTTATTCTTCAAGGATTTAATCAGAGGGGCTAAGACCAGCCTTAGATCTTCCCAAGTTACAGGAGAAAGGGGTAGGGGTTTTGCAGCCCTTTGCATAAGGCAGAAGTGGGGGGATCTTCCAKCTAGAGCTGATTCGCACAGTGCAAAGCTCAGGAAAGGGAGTGAAAAAGATTCAGAAATGTTTCAGATCACCATTAGTGCTCTGCCAGCCGGAGGAGAACCAGATCCATCCAGGCAAATCCAGGCAGCCCCCCATTACCCCATGAGGTGTTTGCAGTACAGAGCCAGCGCTGCCCGGGGCCGTGATGGATGGAGAGGTCTCACGCCATCCCTCCCRAGTGCAGAACTGCAAGCACAGGCAAGCACACCGTTTATAACGGCCCCGCTCAGCAAAACGCTTGCAAGCCCAGTTAAAGACCTGCACCTTGATGCTTCAGACACAGGCTTTGCTGAACGCAGCCCTGGGCCTGTCTCTAAGCTGGGCACAACAGACCTCAGAGCACCRTTCCGCCTTGGACCCGCTGGTACGGGAGCGCAGAGGGTCCCAACGTGTTGCTGTGAGATGCATCCTGCTCCACAGATGATCAGAGTCCTCCATCCACAGGGACTTCCGTGCTCGTGTGCAGCGTGGGAGCTGCTGGTGCTCCAGGGATAGAGCTCGTGTCCTGCCTTGCGCCACAGCCCCTTCTCCTGAGGTTGTAGCTGTGGCTGAGGGAAGGGAAGGCTGCCTTGGCTTTACATCCAGCGGCTGCTTTTTGTGTTGCAAGAGGCATGTCCGTGCCCTCCAGGCATATGCCTTGCAGCTCTCCCTTTTGTAGTGTCATTTTGTAGTGTTTTTTGTAGTGTGTTACCTTGCTGGTAGATAAACTGAGGCAGGATGCTTGCAGAAGTCCCCCAGGCATGCAAAGGTGGGGATGAAAACTGACCTGCCCTCCCCTTCATTCCCCAGCACCACTGCAGAAAACGGGACAGGGAACACAGATTTTCTCACAGAAAAAGAAAAAAAAGAGTGAACTGAGCTTCTCAGAACACTTGAAATTTAAAGCTAGCATGAGCAAAGTGGATCAAGGGAGCTCAATACAAGCGCAATTAGCTTCTGCAACTTATTGCCACAGGATACTAAGAAGAACAAGAACTTAACAGGATTCGAAAAAGGATTAGTTGTGTATGTGAATAAACTGCATATCCAGAATTAGAACGAACCACCCACCAGTTTAGGAAACATATAAACCCTTGACTCTCAGAGCTTAAGCCCAATTTTAAYGAGCCCCTGAAAGGAACTTTCCGTGTCCAGAGCAATTCCCCCCATGCGGCTCCACCTCTGCAGATGCCAGGCGAGATGACCAGCGCTGGGAACAGGACGGGAGCCGTCATGGGGCTGCTCTTATGCAGCCTGACAACACCACCTAGTTCCATGATCTCACTGCTTCCCACAAAACGACAGACCTTCTGTTAAATCCTTAAAAGATTCAATGCTTCGTCTTGGTGTGTTTGCTTTCCTGCATGGATTCTCATGCTGCAAGTGTCTCTGTGGTGCCCAAGCTCCTGCAGGAGCTCACAGAGCCCCTTGGCTCTTCTTCCCTGCCTCCTTGCTCCAGGGACACAGAGAGGWGTGCCTTGGAAGAGGCTGGAATCACTTTGTTGTCACAGTGTTTTTGGAAGAGACCTTTGCAATCTTTCCGTGATCAGGAAGGCACAATCATACAAAACCATCCTGCCTTTGGAACGGAGTGGCTGTTGAGGCTCCTTAGCACCTGGAAAGGCTGYAGCACAGTGTGGGTGACAGCGCTGTCCTGCCTGCTTTCAGAAGATGCATGGTACATCAGGAAGGGTTGGCAAAGCCTGATCAGGACTTGCAAACCAGAAAAGCTGTGC